AACCGCAGACCCTCTGTGAGCCATCCCAGAGGCTCTGCTGCATATGACTTGTAAGCTTTTGTTGCCAGAGGACCAGTTTCCAGAACCTCTGTGATAGACAACAGAGGTTCTATCACTCTTGACTTGAACGATTGAATATCTTCTGTTGTTGGTCCTCTGTGGTCTTCTGTGGAATGAACCCTTCTGTCAACACTTGCAGAAATCTTTTTCATACTTTTACATTAATGAATATGAGAGCTAACATGGGGTTTCACAATATGCCACCCTTATGTCAAATGTACACCTCTCCTTAATATGTCACCCTTATCCCATGGTACACCTCTCCTTGATATGCCACCCTTATTCCATGGTACATCTCTCCTTGATATGCCACCCTTATCTCCTCATCAAAATATTTTACATGACAATTCCAAATAAACCGCAGTCAATGGAATTTTTATCAATCCAAAATAATTTATATCAAAATTCCCATTTTAATAATTAAAGGCTTCTTGCTGTTCTCCTTCCCATTGAAATTTAATGTTCTTCCGAGTCAACTTAGTTAATGGCACGACTATTTTTGAAAATTTCTGAATAAACTTACGATAATAACCAGCCAATCCTAAGAAGCTTCAGACTTCAGAAGGATTTTTCAGAGCTTCCCATCTTGCAACTGTCTCTATTTTTGCGGGATCCACTTTTACCCCTGCTTCTGAGATGACATGACCCAAGAATTGAACTTCTCTTAACCAGAACTCACATTTAGACAATTTTGCGTACAACTTTTCTTTTCTCAACAATTCCAATATCAGACGAAGATGTTCCGCATGCTCTTCTTTGGTCTTAGAGTATATAAGAATATCATCGATAAATACAATAACGAATTTATCAAGATACTCTTTACATACTATATTCATTAAATCCATAAATGTTGCGGGCGCATTAGTTAAGCTGAATGGCATAACTAAGAATTCGTGATGCCCGTACCTTGTTCTAAATGCTATTGTGGCGACATCTTCTTCCCTGACTTTGAGTTGATGATACCCTGACCTAAAATCAATCTTGGAAGAAATAACTTGCTCCCACCAATTGGTCAAACAAATCATCAATCCTCGGTAAAGGATATTTGTTTTTGATTGTCAACTTATTCAATTCACGATAGTCTATACACATTCGCATAGACCCATCCTTCTTCTTGACGAATAAGACCGGAGCACCCCAAGGTGAAGTGTTGGGCCTAATAAATCCCTTATCAGATAAATCTTTCAACTGTGCAATCAGTTCTTTTAATTCAGATAGAGCTAAACGGTATGGCGCCTTTGCTACTGGTTGAGCCCTTGGTACTAAATCAATTCGGAACTTAATGACTCTATCGTCTTCTGGAAAGACTTCTTAATATTCATTAACAATCGGAATTGATTCTTCTTTTCCTTTTTCTTTCTTCAGATGAATTACATATGCCAAGCATCCTTGGTATTTCTTCTGAATACTTTTCTGGGCTTTCATTGCTGACAAAATACTGGTATGGTGATTCTGACGATCACCATAAATAATAACTGTTCCTTGGTCTGGCAGAACAATTCTGATCATTTTCTGATTATAGACAATACTAGCATGATATCTTGCCAACCAGTCCATACCTACTACTACATCAAATTCTTTCATCGACATGGGAAATACCGGATCGGAAGTTCACAACCCTCAATAACAATAATACAGTTATTGAACACACTAGTAACAGTTTCCTGACTATTAGCAGTGTCAACTACTAATTCATCATCAAGTAACACAGAATACAAACATGCAGTTTGAGCAAACAATGGTGATACAAACGAAAAGTTTGCACCAGAGTCAAATAACACCTTAGCATGTATTGAATTCAGAAGGAATGTACCTGTTACTACATCCGGCGATGCTTCTGCCTCGTTCTTAGTCATCTGGAAGGACCGTCCTCGCGCCCCTCCTT